AGGTATTTTCCTTTTTGATAACATTATTAAACATGGAGTTTGAACAAATGGAAATGTGTTAAAATGCATTTGTGTAAACAAGGTATGATTGTATTTATGATCAAATATGGGTAAATTCAATCCCCCAAACCCTTCCATTTCTGACTGCAGACAAAGTATATACCACTAGATGTAAGCTTCTTGAGAATACCTATCTTAGTCATTGCTGTATCCACAGCATCTAAATCATGCTCCATACTAAACAAATGTTATTTTGTGAATGAATAAATGAATGCCTATAGGTACCAAGTCAGATTCCTTAATTAAGATACACTACTACCACCTGGTGGCAAAGTAGCAAAATTGCAGGAATAGGGTTTTTTCATGTTCTAGTTTTTAATGTAAGTGCTCACAAAAGCAACATATAAATGGCATTTTACAAAGTCAGCAAATGTAAAGAATCAAAAGCAAGAAAGTCCCCCCCACAAAAAAAATTAAGCTGTGTTTTTTTTGGTGATCCCAAACAATATCAGCTTTTTCCAGTTCTTTCCTGTTACTTTATTTATTTACACAAAATCCTCCTAGATTTTGTAGTCTACACACTGCAGGTTCAGAGCAGAGCCAGAGTTGGGTTCTCCCATTAGCTTAGCAAGTGCTGAAGGGGGAGGAGGAGCTTGATTGACAACTGACAAACTGATGACAGAACAAAGGCAGAACCTCCACTCAGGAACACTGCCCATTTTCAAAGCCACATTTGCCTTCCCTTTTCATATTCTCTCAGAAGAAGACCTTTTGACTCTTTGTGCTTTGCTTTGTTTTGTTTTGTTTTTCACATAGACCATGTTGTCAGCTAGGTCCGGAAGCTACAATGAATATAAAGTACTGGGCAGGACAAGGTTTGATAAATGTAAACAATATGCATAGAGAAAACCTCTCAGATGAAAAATCCACATACATTTTTAGCGGCCGTCAGACTGAATGCAAATGGCTTTGGAAAATGTAAGTGGTTGGTTTTTTAATATCAAAGAAAATCACAGCCTTTCTCTCTAACACCAAAAACACTGCTGCACTAAAAAGGAATAAGTAACTAAATAACCCAGGCAGCAGATTTTCCGTACCCCAAAGCCATTGCCTTTGCCCAACCTTAGAGGTCATGTGGTACTTCTAGAAATGTCAAATGAGGGGTAGGGTCAGAGAACCAGGGCTGTTGCTATTTTTTTAAGGCTCCCTCTTTAAAAACAAGGGCACTTCGTGTTTTAGAGGAAGAAGAAGCAATTAAAACAACAACAACAAAAATAAAAGAGTTGGCCCTGTTTAAAAATGAAGCACATAATGCAATGCTGTGGGGTTGCTGGGCCTCAGTTGTTTTCCAAATCAACGCGCTGGCAGTCTTGCCTGAAAGAAAGAAGTCAATAGAGAGAAAATAAATAGAGCATTTCTAGAACTCACCCAGCAGCTCGGAAAACTGTCTGCTTACTATTACACAGTTTTAACATGTCATAATCATTTTCACAGTAAAGATACCCTTCCTGCCGTTTAGACCAAGAATGCATGACTAATTTTAACCACTTGTGCAAAGTTCCTAATGGAAATTTCAAACAGCTTTTATGGATTAGAGTTCTGTAAACTGTATGGCGGGAACAGCAATAGATACCGAGTTGGGGTGCTCCTCACATCAACCCGTCAATGCCTAACGAGTTACTGAGTAATAGTGGGCAGTCACACTGTACTTATAAAAAATGTCTTCTTGGAGCTGCATGTATTATACATTATACAAATGAAAAATAAAACCAAGAATCATGGAGATGCAGACAAATGAGAAGGAAAGGTGGGCCTTGTGCTGGAGATGAGAAAACTCTAGAGCGCCCCCTACAGTGGTCTAACTAAGTTCAAATCAAAAACCATTTATTTGTTCCCATCTTATGGACAGAAACTGAAGTTCAGAGAGGTTAGATCACTGTCTGAGGGTAACACAGCTGCTTGTGGTTAAAAAGAAACTCCCAAACTGCCTAGCTGGCATGTCTCAGTGGTTGAACATAGACCTATGAGCCAGGAGGTCGAAGTTTTATTCCAGGTTAGGGCATATGCCCCAGTCGCCGGCTTGTCACCCTTGGGGGCATGCAGGAGACAGCTGATTGATCATTCTCATCATTGATGTTTCTATCTCTCTCTCCCTCTCCCTTCACCTCTGATATCAATAAAAATATATTAAAAAACAAACAAACAGCCCTGGCTGGTTTGGCTCAGTGGATGAAGTGCCGGCCTGCGGACTGAAGGGTCCCAGGTTTGATTCTGGTCAAGGGTATGTGCCTTGGTTGTGGGCACATCCCCAGTGGGGGTTGTGCAGGAGGCAGCTGATCGATGTTTCTCTCTCATCGATGTTTCTAAATCTCTATCCCTCTCCCTTTCTCTCTGTAAAAAAGCCAATAAAATATTAAAAAACACACACACAAAAACCCCCAACACTCCCAAACTGCCCCTTTCCACCACAGTGAGTAGATTGATGGTTGCACAACAATGTAAATGCACTTAATGCCAATAATTGTACATTTACAAAATAGTAAATTTATGGTATGCATAGTTTACCCCAATTTAAAATAAAAGTCAAGTTCACAAGCTCCTTGCCACTGAGATTGAGAAGAATAAAATGATTGTAGTTATATGTCTGTAGAGTATTCTGTTAAACCTGCCTCTTTGCCCACAACCATGCCAAAAATTCAGAGCATTAAAAAAATAAGGCAAATTCTTCCCTTTTAGGAAGTCAAAGTCAGTGGGATACTTGGAAACCTATTTTGGGTTTTCTTTCCCTGTTCCCCAATTTCAAGCATTTGGAGTTTCTGGGATTTTTTTAATCTCCTCTATGAAGATTCTAAGTTCTACTTGTCAGTAGTTTTCACAGGAGAGGAAAGGAGAAGCAGACCTGAGGACAGGTGGCAAACAAGGTGGATGGGCTGCCACAGTGATGACAGTAGCTATGACATAGGGTAGCTATGACACGGAGAGAAGGGACAGGCTCCAGGCTGGAAGGAGCAGGGAAGAGGGGAAGAAAAAAGTTGACATTTGTGTCCTCCTTTCCCCCTCCCAGTTCTTGAACCTCCCCTTGGTTAAAGCCCAAGTCCCTCCAGCCCCTAGCCCAATGCCCCATCCTCCGGGAAGCTTTCCCTGCTCCCACTAATCACTGCTGGATCCTATAATTCCAGAGATTGGCTTTTGAGACTCATTCCCTCAGGAAAAAGCAGCAAGTTCTCCTGTGTTGACTTACAAGGGAGGGTTTGGGGCAGGTGTTTGATGCTGAGATGTGGAGAGGCAGAAAGGTGCCTGCTGTTGCGAAGGCCTCAGGTCTCAACCCCAGTCCAGTCCCTTTCTCCTGCAGTGAGCACAGTGGGATTAAAAAAGGAGCAGCCCTCGCAGGTTTGGCTCAGAGGATAGTGCACATGCCCAGGTTGTGGGCTTGATCACCAGTAGAGGCGTGCAGGAAGCAGCCGACCAGTGATTCTCATCATTGATGTTTCTATCTCTCTCTCGCTCTTCTTTCCTCTCTGAAATAAAAAATATATATTTTTTTTTAAAAAAAAAAAAAAAAAAAAAAAAAGAAAACCCAGACCCATTAAGCAGTTACTGCCCCTGGCTCTGGTTGGGGCTCCTGCAGGAGGCAACCAATCCATGTGTCTCTCTCAGCATCTGTTTCTCTGTCTCTCCCCCTTCCTTCCACTCTCTCTAAAAATCAATGGAAAAATATCCGAGCTGAGAATTAAGAACAACAAGAAGCAGGGAGGAACACTGCCCCAAGTACTTCCCAACCCCAGAGACACCACTCATCTCTAAATACTAGTATGCTCGGAAAATGTGAACACACACAGAATTCCTGACAGAAGATGGTAAAGGGGGTAAAAATGCTTACAGAAGGAGACTTGACTTTGGGTGGTGAACACACAATACAATATACAGATGATGTATTATAGAATTACATACCTGAAACATATAATTTTATTAACCAATGTCACCTAAAAAATTCAATAAAATTTTTTAAAAAGGAAAAGACATTTTTAAAATCCAATTTCTCTTAGATCTTTCCATACCATTCTCAATTCCTTTTCTTTACCTTTAGCTTTCTACCTAGAGATTAAATCATTTCACCTGCTCCGCTGCCTACTAGCTCCGGGTTGTCAGGACCTTTCCCTTCCTGCTCTATCACTGGGAACACTGCCGTCACCGAGAGGAGCTCAAGCTGCAGCCCCAAGTGATGGCTCACATCAGATTCCATCTCATTCGGCCAGTGTCCTTAACCCAATTCTGAAGGGCCCTTAATATAACACCTTGGCTTACAATACACATCCCCTTTGTGTGCTTTCTTTAAGCTCTTCTCTTAGTTCCCAAGTTCCTCACGCAGAATAGAAGGAGATAGTGAGGGAGATGGGCGGAGAGATGAGGTGGAGGGTGAAGAATTGTGGAAAGGGATGGGTGAAGGGAGGTGGGGGCGAAATGGAAGGAAGCAGACCTGGGTTCAAATTTCAGACTCCAGAGGCCATGGCCAGTGTGACCATGAGGTGGCTGTGGCCAGGCTTACTGCAGGCCCAGAAATGCCACAAGAAGTACAACAGATAAGATGACGGTGGCACAGTGAGGGATGGCCCTGTCTGACAGAGGGGAGACACCTGAGTGCTGGCATAGCCCTGTCATAGTCCTTGAGGAAGGACATTTCTCTGTTGTAGGGACCACCCACACACTGCATCCTGTCTCCCTAGCCCCCTCTCTTCTCCAAGGCTAGGGCCGTCCTGGTTACCTTGTGATGATTGGGAGTGCCAACTGTGCAGGGAGGGGACAGTGGCACTCTCAGCTAAGCACCACTGTCTGAGATGTGCCTGCAAGTCAAATGACTCCATGTGAGATACGCCAATAATATTTTGTGATCTGGAGAGGCAAAATGTATACGAACAGAGTACAGAATTCCATCAAGTTCAAAGCTGATAAGGAGTTGGCCAGAAAATTACATAGAAGAGCCCAAGGAAATGCAAACAAACCTCAACTGAGTTAGATGCCATCTGGTGGAGGGTGCCGATGTCAGTGAGCAGAGAGAATAGTGATCTGTTCCCTTTAAGAAATAGAATCATTGATAATCAGAGTCTCTATAGTAAAGTGGTTGTCCTAGAAGTTCAGGAAAGCATGAGAAACAAGTTCACATCTGTGCCAGAAGCCTCCCTGGTTGTGAAGAAACCTGTGTATGCTGAGAAAGCACATGGAACATTTATTACATGGCAAGCTAACTCCAATATTGTTTGGTATAACACAAATGTTTCCCTTGTGCACAGATATGATTTAAACACAGGAAGACTTACTAGCATATCCTTCTTTAAAAATGAATAGGATTAGCACAGAGAGGTTAAATTACTTGCCAAAGGCCACACAGCTTGATATGGCAGAAACTAATTCTAAAGGCAGCCAAACTGCATTCAGTTAAATACAAAAGTATTATTTTCATATTAGAATTATACATAAAAATATTGAATAATCAAAATGGGAGAAATAATGCTACTGTATTGGTACATTTTCACATGGGTCATATGAATTTGTAATGTTTGAAGTTTGACCTTTGGGAGCAGGAGTTGGCACACTATGGACTATAAGTCAAGTCTGGCCTGCCATTTGTTTTTATAAATAAAGTTTTATTGAAACACGTCCAGGTCTATTCCTTTATGTATTACTGTCTATGGCTACTTTCATACAAAGGCAGAGTTAAATAGCTGGGGCAGAGACTATATGAACTACAAAACCAGAAATAGCTTCTACTTGACCCTTTACAGAAAATGTCTGTTGACCCCATTTGAAAAGTATAAATTAATCTTATAGTTTCCATTTTAAATGTGTAAATAGTAATCACTACAGAATTGTGATTGTAAGGTGAAATATGACTATATTTTAAAAAGTGTCACAACATTAAGAAAACTTAAGGTTCATTATATTTGAAATTATATATATTTGATAATATATACACACACACACACACACACTCACACAAATTACTTATATGACTGGGAAGTTTATCAGTAAAAGTACTTGAAAAGGAAAGTAAAATATTAAATGTACACATGCAGCTTACTATTTTAAAAGTCTTTACCTTGCCGAAACCGGTTTGGCTCAGTGGATAGAGCGTCAGCCTGCGGACTGAAGGGTCCCGGGTTCGATTCCGGTCAAGGGCATGTACCTGGGTTGCGGGCACATCCCCAGTGGGAGATGTGCAGGAGGCAGCTGATCGATGTTTCTCTCTCATCGATGTTTCTAACTTTCTATCTCTCTCCCTTCCTTTCTGTGAAAAATCAATAAAATATATTTAAAAAAATAAAATAAAAATAAAAAAAATAAAAGTCTTTACCTAAATGCATAAATGAGATAAACCTTATTCTAGAATGCCTAAAAAATGACTGCTAAAATTTGTCAGGCTTGTAAACAGAATGATAAGAATTGTAAAGTGAATTTGAAAGCCTAGAAAAGAGCTAGGACTTGAAATGTATAGAGTGAATGAAATGAATTTTAATTTTAAACATCTAGGTAAACCTTTGACACTCTCTTCTGCTGACAAAGGCCACCCTAAAGCCATCAAAAACCCCCATTAATAATCTAAATCTGCTCCTCCCTGCTTCTCAGTAGTAAATCTAGTGAGAGCACTCAAGAATCAAGCCCGTGTCTTCACAGTCACCTATGCCTGAATCCAGATCCAATCTGTGTTGTTTGACCTGGTTCAGATTGTGAATTTGAAAAAGGGGACCTTCCTATGCCAGAGAGAAAGCTCTGGGGAGGATGCCAATGTGAGAGATCATTTTAAATATGTGTGAATGTGTATGTGTATAATGATGACAATGATAACACCACTTTATTATTTCACATAGCATTTATAATTCATAAAGCCCTTTCAAACTCACTCTCACTCTCTTGATCTAGTAAAATAATGTAGCAACTCGGTGATTAGCATGAGCTTTGAAATGAAAGACCTGGAGTGATTCCTGCCTACCAGTAGCATGGCTCTGGGCAGATTGCATTTCATCTAGGTTTCCTCAATGCTAAATCAGGGTTAATAATAATACCTACTCCCTGGGTTATTGTCAGGATCAAGATGAAGAGTATCTGAAATGAGTGCTTAGCATGCCGCCTGGCAAGCAGTAATGGCAACAGAGACCTGAGCAGCTATCTCATGGCCAGAGGACCCCTGTGAGGTCAGAAAGACAGGCAGTATTATCCCCTTTGTGGAGGAAGCGGCAGGTTTAAAAGACCTGCGCATAGGCATGCAGCCCACAGGCAGTGGTGCCATATTTTTGATTCCAACTTTGCTCCCTGCCTGTCCTGCTGCAGCTCAAACTTGATCAAGCATCAGCAACAAGGGGAGGGCTTCTCACAGCAGAGGGCACTCCCTGACACAGAGGTTCTGATGCAGTAGTTCTGGAGTGGGGCTCAAGAACTTGCATCTTACGGAGGGACCTGCAGAGTATTATGCTAAGTGAAATAAACCAGTCAGAGAAAGATAAGTACCACATAATCTCACTTACATGTGGAATCTAATGAACAATATAAACTGAAGAACAAAACAGATCCAGAGACATTGAAACATGCAACAGACTGATGTATTTCAGAAGGGGGGGCGGTGGGGAGAATGGGAAGAAACTAAACTAAGAATTTATATGCATACTAGAGGCTCAGTGCATGACATTTGTGAACTGGGGGAGGAGGGGTCCCTCAGCCTGGCCTGCTCCCTCTCACAGTCCGGGACCCCTTGGCAGACATCCCCTGAGGGGTCCTTAGTGCTGTCATGCCATGAGCCTGACTTCTGGCTGAGTGGCGCTCCCCCTGTGGGAGCACACTGACCACCAAGGGGCAGTTCCTGCGTTGAGCATATGCTCCCTGGTGGTCAGTGCACGTCATAGCGACTGGTCATTCCACCATCTAGTCGATTTGCATATTAGGGTTTTATTATATAGGATATGCATAGTCCATGGACAAATAATAGTGCAGGAAGGCCTGAGAAGAAGATGGGAGTTGGGGGGGGGGGGGTGTAAGGTAGGGGAAAAGGACAATTGTAATACTTTGAACAATAAAGTTTAAAAAAATAATTTGCATTCCTAAGTTTTCTTAATAAAGACTAATTTTTTTCTGCTAAGAAAAGAAAATCAACCTTGTTTCAGAATCATACCTTTATACTATATTAGAGGCCCAGTGCATGACATTCATGCACTTGGGGGGGAGGTCCCCTCAGCCCGGCCTGAGCCCTCTCACAGTCCATGACCCCTTGGAGAATGTCTGCCTGTTGGCTTAGGCCCGCTCCCCGCTCCCCTATGGGAGTGCACTGACCACCAGGAGACAGCTCCTGTAGTGAGCGTCGCCCCCTCATGGTCAGCAAGCATCATAGCGACTGGTCATTCTGCTGTTTGGTTGATTTGCATATTAGCCTTTTATTATATAGGACTAGAGGCCTGGTGCACAAAAATTTGTGCACTCGGGGGCGGGGGGGGGGTCCCCTCAGCCCGGCCTGTGCCCTCTCACAGTCTGGGACCCCTTGGGAGATAGCGACCTGCTGGCTTAGGCCTGCTCCCGGGTGACAGAGGGCAGGCCCAATCCCTAGGTGCAGCCCCTGATCGGGCTCAGAGCAGGGCCAATTGGGGAGTTGGGGCACCACCCCCTGTCATACACAGAGCAGGGCGATCGGGAGGTTGTGATTCCACCCTCAGTCACGCTCAGGGTAGGGCCGATTGGGGGGTTGGGGCACTGCCCCCTGTCACTCACAGAGCAGGGCCCATCAGGGGGGTTGGGGCTCTGTACCCTGTCACGCACAGAGCAGGGCCAATCAGGGGGTTGGGGCACTGCCCCCTATCACCCACAGAGCAGGGCCGATCAGGGGGTTGGGGCGCCGCCACTCTCACACTCAAGGCAGGGCCGATGGGGAGGTTATGGCTCTACCCCGTCACACACACAGCAGGGCCCGGGGGTGGGGGGCGGTTGGGGCGCCGCACCCTGTCACACACAGAGCAGGGCCGATCAGGGGGTTGGGGCGCCGCACCCTGTCACACACAGAGCCGCAGGGCGATCAGGGGGTTTGGGCGCTGCCCCCGTCACGCTGATCCTGGTGCCGGGAGGCCTCGCGGCTCCGCTGATCCCGGTGCTGGGAGGCATAATACCCTTTTACTATATAGGGTAGAGGCCTGGTGCATGGGTGGGGGCTGGCTGGTTTGCCCTGAAGGGTGTCCTGGATCAGGGTGGGGGTCCCCACTGGGGTACCTGGCCAGCCTGGGTGAGGGGATGATGGCTGTTCGCAGCTGGTCACACACCCTTCAGGGTGGGGGTCCCCACTGGGGTGCCTGGCCAGTCTGGGTGAGGAGCTGAGGGCTGTTTTCAGGCTGGGGGTGACTGAAGCTTCCAACCGCTCCTTTTTTTCTTTTCTTTTTTTTTTTTATTCTGGGCCAGCTTTAGCTTTGAGGCTTGGCTCCAGCTCTTAGGCCTCCGCTGCTGAAAGAAGGTTTCTGGCCTTTGCTTACAATGTTGCGATCCTGCTGGCTGAAGCCCGGCAGGTTTCTGGGGTTTTGTTTAGCTTCTATGTTTGTTACATAGTTGCTCGCAGCTCAGAGGCCTGCAGCGGCAGGCAGGGAACATTGGAGTCCTATGTCACTGAAGCAAGCAAGCCTCATGTTAGTTTCAAGCTGCCTGGCTGCCGGCCGCCATCTTGGCTGGCAATTAATTTGCATATTGCCCTGATTAGCCAATGGGAAGGGTAGCGGTCGTACGCCAATTACCATGTTTCTCTTTTATTAGATAGGATTCCACGTCCTGCAACATTTTCCTACTAAAATAATAGAGTGTTTTATACTGTCATATTTTGTAATAGAATTGAACTAATACTTAAATTTAAAAGTACAAAAACAATTTGCAGCTCCAACAAGTTCCCAGGTGATACTGCTGCTGCTGGTTCGGGGACTCCGCTTTGAGAACCACTAGACTCAGTGCAGTGCTTGTGAAAAGTCGCACTAGCTCTTCCACAGAATATCGGTGCACGTTCCTGGGTCATTAAAATATTTGGCACCTGGTCAATGCTCAGTGGATGGCTTTATTTCA